TTGACAATACTTTAAATTAAATAAAACTAGCAACACATTACTTTGTTTTATTTACTTTAAAGAAGTGAGGAGTAGGGGGATGAAAAATGATGTTGTTTTGATACTGAGACTGGACGAGTAGCCCTCGGCAAACTGCCGACTTCAAAAGTAGCTCTTGGTTCACAAAAGGTCGGGCACCCCTGAACTACAAGTACTGATACTGGAGCTAAACCCAAATTAATGTTTTTGTTTTTTATTTATTTACGTGTAACATGTTAAATGTGAAGTTATTCCTTCAGTGAAAAGATGTGTGAATACAGGTTTCAACACATTTTAAGTCTGATATGAAACTGATCACTATTGTCACACAAACGTGTCAAGCAAAGGCTAGACCGTCTCATTTACAGCAGTTTGATGCAGACCACCCACAATGGGAAGGACGTGGCCCACATGGCCCGGCTGGGTTATGCCCATGAATTGAGACACAGCATCATCTCAATAAACCTTAAAGGGGGACTAAATATGCAACATTCACTTTTTTCAGTCTTTTTTACTTACATTTGGGTCTGTATTGTTCTAAAAACAGTCCAAGTACCAAAAAACGTACTCAGAGGTATTTTTACTATAAGTAAATGTATTTTTCTGTCTTGAAATGACCTGTTTTCAAACACAGCCGTTTGTGATGTCACAAGTCTCACTCCAGCCCACCTCAACTCAGGTTGAGGCCCAGCTTGTCTCCTGGTAACCCAAGCAGAGACTCCGCCCACTTCTTCATAGGACCGTTCTGCTGTTTTAGAACAGTCATTGAGGACAGAGATGTGTGGATTCATTTTATTTTATTTTGATGCCAATGTTCTAGCAATATTAACAAAGTTGTAGTTTATGTAAATAATTTCACCAAGGAGTACTTTGGAAAAATAATACCAGCAGGATTTACCCAAGCCCCCCACCCCCCATCATCATCCATTACTGTATTTTTTGGACTATAAGCCGCAACGTTTTCCTGAACTTTGAACCATGCAGCTTATATTCCGGTGCGGCTTATACGTTAATGTTCGCGGGGTTTTTTTTAAATGGCGGGTGCGGCTATATCATGAAGAATGATATAACGAAGGAACAGCCCTCATCAGTTCTTCAGTTATTTTTGTCCCTCTAAAAGCAGAGTGGGCACATGTTCCAGTTTTAATGTGGACACCTTCCAGTCTGGACTTTATATCCATGTTCATTATACAACTCTAACTTGAAAAGTTTCAGTAAACAGTTAAACACACAGTGTCCTGATAGATCTACCTCCCTGTCTATGTGATCCTGACCAACAGTACCTGGGAGTCTGGTAAGCAGACAGTTGAGCTGTCTTCTGGCCAGCGGGGTCCAGGACAGGTCCAGAGAGGTGGGTTGACGTTTGACGATGCCTGCCAGGGCCTGGTTAGTGAGTGGGCTGCGCCTGCTGACATCGATCTGACTCCACAGACGTTTGTCACAACTCCTGCACAACAAGGAGAGCTTTAATACAGTGATGGAACTCCAGATCACCTGTAGTGAACAGAACATCCAGGTGGGCTTCATTGGTGACGTACCACTTGTACCAGGCCTTACACACAGTCATGCAGACCAGGAGGTCAGCTTGGTTCAGGTATCTGAACACAGACACCCACAGCTCCTTGTCCCCGCCCCTCTCACTGCCCACATCTTTGAAGGAGGGCAGAGACAGCAGAGAGGGGATCAGGGTGGAGGCTGCAGAGGGAGAAACAGCCTCATCTTCCTCTGAAGACCCCGACTGATTTCTGTTGCTTCTATCAGCTTGGCTTCCTCGAACCCGCGGCCTACAGGATAAAACACAACGATAACTTAAACTGCATAAAAAAACTGTTACGGCCAGAGGTCTTTCTTGTATGTTTACACTAAAGCATGGAATGACATTCCTCAAAACATAAAGTCCATTTCAAAACTACAGCCCTTTAAGAAKAATCTTGTCTGCCATCTGCTGGACACTTTTTGTTCTGCTCATATTTAGACGTCCTATTTTGCAAATGCTGCCTTCCTGAAATTTGGTCTGCTTGTTTGTCTTTGTGTCTATGGTGTATAATGATGTGATTGTGATGCTGTAWTTCTGAGTGTTTTATGTGCTGCAGAACAGGAACCTGCTGTAAAACAGCAATTATGCTGAGTCAGGCTTGATTTTTAGTCATCTTTTCCTGTTAAATCAATAAATCAAATCAAATCAACTTATATCAATCATGTTGTAAGAGGGAAATGGATCCAGCTAGTATGAAGCTACAACCAGTACATCATCACAGCTGTTTAGTTTGGAGCAATAAGACTGATATACAAACTATGAAGAGAAAACTACCATTCCTTAAAGAAATGTCTAACATCTYCCCCCTTTAACACCAAAAGACCTCACATATCTGTTACTGTGTGTTGTAGATGTTACTACCACACCACAGGTCACATAAAGGATCTGTAACACTGACTGATTTCAGTGTTAGTTAGAGGGGAGAAGCTGTGGTGGCCATCTTGAATTGGGCTGACTTCAAAGGTTAATTATTTGTAGATGTATATTTTGTACCAGAAAAAAGGTTCACATCAAACAGTGCTAATATTTTAGACAAAGGTGTTCCTCACAGAARATTAAAAAAAACATTTTCTACAGAGGAATACAAGTCAGATGATGAACAAAAAAGATTCAAACATTTTCTACATCATTTTAAACCAGATTCACATTATAAACAGATAAAGTGTTTCAAAGAGAAATCAACATAACATGTAACCTACCTGCCAGGACCTCTTGGCGTCAGATAGTCAGATGTGTTTCTGGACAGTTTAGAATGAGCAGCTTTTCTCTGGATGAAGCCCTGCTGACCCCCTGCAGCTGTCCATGGGCCCGTGGCTTCTAGCTTAGGAACTATTGAACCTGAAAAACACAAACACACATTCTAAAGTTGGACACTCAGTGGGTTGTGAAAGTATTCACGTGCTCTTGGTAATTTGTGCTTTTTTCCTTTACAACCTGAAATGTAAAACAACCTGTTAACCTTCGGGCATAAAATACCATAAAATGCCTTAAAAAGTACACACAAATTAAATGAAGTACTGCTTTTGAACCCTTTAGAGTAAATTCACAAGCTTGGTCTCTTTTTAAAGCTAATAATCTGAATTTTTAACTTCAGCAGTCATATTTTTTGTAACTGTAACTAGTATTTAGTGTATTGAACTAAAATACACAAACATATAGATATTTTTCTCCTTAAATTTCTATTTTTTATTAATGAAGTATCACAGAATAAGAAC